GATGGGGGAGGGGCTGCTGCTGTTCCCAGGATGGAGGGGGTCTACCCTTCCCTCCCCTGCTTCCCAGATTCCTGATCTTCGGACCCACCGCCTTCAGGGGCCCACCCCTTTCTGGTCCATGCCGGCGCCCAGCTCTGGCGGAGGGGTGGGCATGGGGCAGGGGTGGGGTGCTGGAAGTGAGGCAGATGCCTGACATGGGGGACCTTCCAGGCGACCTGGGTGTGAGGACTTTGGTCTCGCTCTGCCCAGTAACAGACTGCTCCCCGCAACTGTCCCAGGACCAGCTTCATCTTTGCACTCGGTGCCAGGACAGCAGGGGCAGGTGGCCCCCCCATTTCCACCCCGTCTCCCCCTCTGCCCAGGAACTGCACTCTCGCCCACCCTTCCTCCACCCTGGGAGCTGACGGCCTGCTGTCCCCTCTCCTTAGCTACCCAGATTCTCCCCAGAGCCCCGCCCACCCACGTGTGCCCCGCCTTGACCCCCCCTCAGGCCCAGGTGACTTCTGCACCTGTCTGGGAAGGGACCAGGTGTGTCACTGACCACACTCCTTCCCTGCCCCATCTGGGAGTCTTGTCCATCTGGGCTCCATCCTCTTCTCATCCTCTCGCTGTCATTCACAGAGATGTTGGGACCAGCTGTGGGCAGAATGAGACCCTCCTCCAGCAATTGAGGATGGTTCTTTTCGGAGCCAGGGTGCTGCCCCTCCCACACTGAGGAGGGTCTGTGGGTCCTTGCTCACCACCTGTGCCTCAGGTGGGGGGACAATGGGCAGCCACTGGCGGGAGCACTTTGCAGCCTTTTCTCTCACTCACCCCTTTAGTGCAAAACCTGCTCAGTAGGCCTCCTTCCCGCCATCCATCCGACGGATTAGGCAGACCGAGATTCAGCAGTGAAGGGGCACAGCCAGAGCCTCGCCTTCGACACCCTCTGACCTCAGAGTCCCCCGACATCAGCCCTCTCTTCTTTGCCAGACTTTGGGACACTGCTGACCCACATTTGGTCTCATGATTTTTCTGGGTGTCCAAGTTGCCATTGGTGTCAAAAGGGAAACCATGAGTGCAATCAATTAGGTTTGTCCAGCACAGTCACCGCCTGGAAGACACACTGTCCTGTCGGCTGGAGAACCGCCCCCTGGCAGACGTCACATGGGGCTTTCCTGCTTCATCTCCAGCGCCACCCCCGTAGAGTGCTGCCCTTGGGTGTGTAAGCCTGTGCTCACTGCCGGCTTCTCCACGCACCAAAGTGTGACAGCACGGTGGCCCGGCCCGGAAGTAGCCGCGTGAGCGCGCCGGTAATTGTGCCAAAGTCAGCTTAAGGGAACCCCAGCTACGGGGCTCATCCGTCCAGAGCAGCCATGGCCTTCTGTGCCGTGGTGGCCTGTCTGCTCGTGCTCACTGGTAGGCTCCGTTTGGTCTTGGTCACTAGGCTGAAGAGTCATTGACTGTCATAGTCTTGTAGCCACTGCAGACTGACTGTAGCTTTCCCATCCTGTGCAGACTGAAAAGCTTTCCTGCCACCTTTCCCTGGAGTGTCACTCAGGGGACTGGGTTCTTGGACTTACTTGGGAAGACGTGGCCACCCCCTGTGTCCTTCCCAGGCACTCAGCTCTTGACACTCTTTTGTGAACTCATGCTCATCCAGCACCTTATGCCTTTCTGTCGGCCGTGAGGCCTCGCGCCTGGCTTGAGCTATGTCTGTGGGGGAGGCCTGGATGGGTCTGAGTCTCAGTATCTCCCCTCTGCAAAGAGACATGACTTTTAAGTCCCTCCAGTTCTGAAAATACAGACACAGCTGCTTTACATGCGGCTGAGTCCAGCCCTGATTTCCAGACCCATGTGCGGGCTTCTCCTTGCCCCCTCTCTCCAAGTTTGCCGAGCCCCACCTGCTGGCCAGTCCCCCCACCCGACCTGCAGCCAGACCACTGATCAGGCCTCACTCTCAAGCCCCCTCCTGCGTGGTTACATGAGGACAGGTCTTCTGGGAAGGAAGGAAGCTGTTCACAGGCCATCGCCTGAGAGACCAACCCGGGGAACTTCTGTGGCCATCACAGGCTCAGCTGCATCCCTGTTTGCAGCTGCAAGACACAGTCCCTCATTTCCCAGGTGGACATTTGTCCCCGGGGCACAGCCGTGACTTCCAAGAGCTCTGACCTCAGTCTCCAGCCCCCACTGCTCTCCCCTCTCTCCTGACCCTGCAGTGCTCACACCTGCCCAAGCTCCCACCCCATCGTGCTTCCTGAAATACTGCCAGCCTCACCCCATGCTGAGGGGACACCTGGAAGGGAGCCACCAGCATTTCTCCATAAACTTGTTCTTCCTCTGTAATGAATCTGCAGCTCCTTCTCCTGGGAAAATGTCAGGCTCAAGAGAGAAGCTGTGAGGCCCCGGTTCCCAGCCTGTAAGGGATGCCCTCTTAGAGGCTTTGACATGTGATAAGGAAGCGTCATCTGAAACGTCAGGATGGGGGCTGCTGTCAGGGTGGCAGGTGCTGGCAGGGTTAGACAGAGCCCCCTCTTTCCTGGCCTCTCCCAGGACCCAGTACGGCCTCTGGTCCAGACCCCCTGTGGCTCCCTCTGCACCTTCCCTTCTGAGAAGAGGGCTGGCTACCTCTGCAGCCCCACCCACCCACCCAAATGCCTGCTGGTCTGCTGCTCCTGGTGAGCTGACTCCGCCGGCTCCTACGCCCTCTAACTCCAGCACGTGTACTGTGATGAACCCCTCTGCCTCATTTTGGAAATTACAAGTAATACAGGAATAGATTCTGCTCATAAAGAAATAAAGTTGACAAGTCAGACCGAAATCCTCTTGGAGGCATGCCCCGACCCGGCCCTCCCTCGACCCCTCCTTCCAGCCTCCTGCAACCGATGACTAAGATGTGTTTTGGCCCCGCTTCCCCTCCAAGCACCCTAAAGGCTCCCCCTGATGCTTGCTCAGGGTTCCTTCATGCTCCCTTCATGGCCTCTTGGGCTCTCTCCAGGAGAGTCTGGACCATCAGGATATTTAGATCAAATAACCTTATTCTCTGTACTGGTTGTGGGAAGACACTGCCCCTCAGGAGTTGTCCCCTCAGACCAAGGTCTGATCATTTCTGTCTTGTGTCCTGTTTTTACACAACGCTTTTCCCCTCAGACCAAGGTCTGATCATTTCTGTCTTGTGTCCTGTTTTTACACAACACAATTTCACGTTAGCTCTCCTTAAAAAACTAGCTTGTGTGAAATTTGATCAGAAAATTTCTTGTCCACCTAAGTGCTTGTCCAAATTCTTGTATGCCCCTTGGACGAATGCTGTTGGTAGCTGTGCATGCTTTCTGCTTCTTGGAAACCAGATTCCCTAGATTCCCTCTCCCAGGAGCATCTCTCTGGAGACTGATACCAGCTTGTCCAGCCAGAAAGGCGGCACATGGGTCTCTGAGCCTCCTAGTCTCTGGGACCTGCTAGAGTGGTGGAAAGAACACAGACCACCTGAAATTGTGCTCAAGGAGTTCTGGGAGAGTCACCCCAGCTGCCTGGGCCCAGTGGCATCACAGCTGAGTGACAGCATTGGGCTTGCAAGATTGTTGAGCACTAGCGAGACGCTGGACCAACGTGTCTCCTTTGGGGCCTGGCTCGTTGTGAATTCCACGAACAACTCGATTATTTCTATTCTAAGAGTGGGTAGTTCCCTTTCCCCCGACATGGCTCATGGCCTCGTCGGCCAGGCTCACCTCCTTTTCTGGTTGGGCAGTGAGGACACCGGCTGTGGGTACTTGCTCTGCAAAGCTAGAGGGAGGGCTGTGGTGCTGAACGGACAGCTCCCTTCCCTTGGGCTCTAGATGGGCGGTGGTTGTGAGTGCACTTGCTGAGGTTTCATGGGGTGACCACACTGCTATCAGGGTAAACAGAGGAGGAAGAGATAAGAAGGTTTGATGGCTTCACCCAGGTGTACAGCCCAAGACAGTGCTGCCCGCAGAAGCTCCATGCCTGCCGTCTCAGTCACGTGACTAATTTGGTCTAACCAAGGGGGCAAGTGTCTGAGAGAGAGAAAGGGAGGAAGGAGGGAGGACTGTACCCAGGGAGAGGAGCAGGGGGAGATGGGAATCGGGAAGATGCACAGTGACAAAGAATCAGAGACACAGAAAGATACGAAGAGAGTGACAGACAGACAGACACAGACAGAGTGAGGGAGAGACAG